TCCTTTGCAGCGTGACTTCCAGCAGATAAGGAAGATAAAAAAACAACTTTGAAGTTTTATCCGCTTCTTAAGAGGGCAGAGGGGGAAGAAGGAGGAGGAGGAGGAGAAGGTCTAGGAGGTGGGCCGAGTTGCAAAACAGGCAGGGACAATGCAGGTAAAAGCGATAAATAGGGAGAGAAAGAAAAGATACAGGTGTGAATGGTGAATAAGATGAAGCACTATGAGTCATAATCCTAATCTACATTCCGTCCCTTTGTTTACATCCCCGGATCGCTACGGTAGCAAGATTATCATGATATCAGTGAACGTACGAGGCCGCAACTGCACATGCCTCCGTTCTCACATGTTCATCAATTTTAAAGAAACCGATGATACGACTCTTTCAGGAGCTACACTCAAACACGCACGCTGACTCCATGACACAAACATGCACAGTGACATGAGAGCATGGCGCCACATATGCTCCTTCAAAACATAGTTCGCACACATTGGTTTCTCCACAGACACGCCAATGCAGTAAAGGGAAAGCACACAGCTGCTCTTTGTACAGAGGGGCTGTCACAGTGGGTGAGCATATAAAAGCCCATACGGCCCAGGTCCCCAACCGTCGCTTTGTGTGTGTGTGTGTGTGTATCTGTGTGTCTCACAGTGACTGGTGAATATTTAAAGAGTGTGTGTTGAGCACTTTGCCTGAGGAGGAGCAGAGGGGATGTGTTCTGTCATCAGAAAGAAAAAGATTGGCTGCCTCCTTTTTTCTCTGCTCTCTCCTGCTCCCTCGCTGCATGGCGACAGCAGAGTCACGGCGAGAAAGCATGTGAATGTGCAAACAGCACACCCACATTCTCACACACACACACACACACACACACACACACACACACACACACACACACAGGAAATGTTATGTTGTTGGGAAAGCAAGTCGACGAGCCTGAATGTGTCATGCTTCAAGCGTGTGTGTGTGTGTGTGTGTCGGTGATGCGTTTGTGTACTTCTGATCGAGATATGATTAGTTGCCATCTCAACTTGCATCCTTGCGTCCATCACAGAGAAGAATGACTCCTCCCACGGGAATGACGAGGAGCTGCGATTGATCAATTAGCCAATCGATAAGCCTGTCAGTCAATAAGTCGTTACGTCAGTCAGTCACTGAGAGTTTTGGCCAATGGCTGGCGAGGGAAGGCCCCCGTTCCCGCCCCCTGCCAAGGCAGGCGCTTCCTCAATTCGGAGAACTGTCATTCCCATAAGCCCCATCAAATATTCATAAGCATCAGAAAGAAAGAGAGAAGGGGGAGGCAGAACAGAAACAGAAGCATGATCAAGAAAAAGAAGAAAAAAAAACAGCGTGAGTAAGGGAAGGAGAGAGGGCTGGAGAGATGAGAGCGGAAGAGAGACGTGGCAAAATTAAAGGAAGGAAATACCGATGAGGGCGATGGAGGGAGAGATGATGAGACAGAGAGTGACAACAGTTGGAGAGAGGGAGAAAGGGAGCTAAGGCAAGAAACAGAGAGAGATGACGGAGAGGGAGAGAGGTGGAGAGAGAACGTGTTTAATTATTCAGCATTACCCGTGTTCTCTATTTATGGCCCTTTTAAAGCAGCCAGTAGAAGCTATATATACACACATACTGTAGGGCACGGGCTGCTCCCTTAAGTACAGCTCACCAGGGAAGTTTCAGCCCCCAGAAAACAGGGGAAACCAGAAGAAAAAAGAGATTACATATTGATAAGAGAAATGCGCTGAGGCCAGGGATGAAGTTGTGATGCGGATGATTCGGAGGAAAAACTAGGATATGCAACCGCCACGGAGACGTAAGATGAGAAAGGGAGACAGAGGGAGAAGTCAAACTTAAATTATCTTTTCGCTTCGGCTACTCGTCTGTCACTGCTCTTCGCCTCAAACTATATTTTGCTGACAGGGAAACTGTCACAAAAAAGCAACTTCCTGGAAACAACTTTTCAAGGCATTTTATTAATTGAGATGAGCTGTTGGGTGTGCGTGAGAGCTGGGAGGAGAGAGAAGTGGACATAGAGGAGAGAGCACCGTGGAGCAGATCTGTATCATTTAACTCTGGAGTAATGGAATTGTTGATAAACCTGTTATCTCTCACTCCCAGACACACAGAACTGCAGCAATGTGGCACATTACCGGCCCTCCGACACCAACATAAAACACTGAACTGGCCATTACGCCACATGCACGCAAAAGGACGCATGCATGGGTACACACAAACCTACATATCTCGAGCTTCATTACTCATTTTACAAGAGTAAAAACTACTGCGGCGGAATGCAGTGGATTGGTTTTAGTGTCATATTTTTCCAGATGGTAAAAAAAACATTACTGGTTACTTGTTTTGTGATGTTTTTATATCCTATTTTCAAATCTAAAAAATGTCCGCTGCTCAGGAAATGCATCTGTTTTTAGCTTTTACCTGAAGCGTTTGTCACTTCATCCAACGGGCTTTTTGAAGTTTTAATAAGCCTCGGTAGCCTAAATTTGTCAATCCACAGAAATTAATAATTTAGTTTCAATCAAATGAATGCAGTTAGGATGATTAAGTGATATGTACCATCAATCTGCATACATTTCTGCAAAAACGAAACCAGGAACAAAATAAAAGATGGTTTGGTTAGAGGAGTCGTGCGGAGATTCTCAATTTTCTAAACTATGGTGTGAAAGAAAAATATCAAGGCACTACTTGTTAAATTGCAGTGTATGATCACAGATACATCAGAGCAAAGCTGGCCCCTGGCCACGGAGCAACTTGAGTCTATTTTTGGAATCAAAACGAGGAGTAAAATCATGTTTACCGCCCGCCAGACTCTGATCTTTACATCTGAGCAAAATTTCAAAGTCCACCTGAGTTCACTCCGCAGCAGACAGACAAGCATTCATTGATCCAGATGGGGATACTATAGTGCAAAGCTAGATACAGCAGTACGGTATTCCTAGGTGTTGTTTTTCTGATATGACATGTGTCTCAAAATGGTTCAGAGAGACGCGGAGCAATTCCAGTTCACTAATACACCGGTCTGAAGGTCAATTTATCATCTCAGTGACTCAGAGAATCACCTGCTCACAAGAAGACGATCCTTTTCAGGCGGCTTGCCTCAACCGCATGAGGAATTTAAAATAGATGGCATTTTTACTCAAGTGACTCTGCCCCTTATCTGTATGGATGAATCCAATCTGTTCCAATTTACATATGTGTCGTCTCCTTCTGCAGCACTGAATGGGCAAAATTTTAAACGAAGCACTGCAAAGCATTTTAGCATGTTTTCTCCCTTCATATTGTATAAAGATTTACATGACTAACTATTGTTTTTATTATTGATTAACTGATGATAATTTCCTCAAATAAATGTGTGGTCTATAGAATGTCTGAAAGTAGTTTTAAAAAGAAGCTCAAGGGAATATCTTGGTGATGCGTTTGTTTTGTCTGAACAACCTAGAAGCCAAATATATTTGGTTTCCCATAAGACAAAGAAATAAACAGTAAATCCTCACAACCAAAAGGCTGGAACCAAGGAATGTTTTATTGTTTTATTGAGATGTTGTCGCATTTTTCCTTCTGCTTCATTTTCTGTCAATCATCTCAGCTCTGCTATTTCCACCTTTGATGTGCAACACATCTTTAATGAGCTTTGTAGGCCAAAAGGAACATTTTTTAATAAATTGTTTCGCAGAAACATGCAATGTGCAAAATATAATCAAATTTTGGCTCAAAAAGTTCTCAAAATCTATTGCACACATTCACAACTTCATACACAAGGTAATGACAGTGGAAATGTCACGTTTGGACCTAAGCCAACAGCAGTAACAGAATCAACTTCAGCGTAGACTCAGCTGAGCTTTATACACCGTTCGACACCCAATCACAAACCAGTGTGGATCAGCTGCATTGGCTGCAGACCCAGCAGGCCGGTGCTGTTGCCACAGGCACTCTGTGGCTCGGTAATGTATAGGAACAGACTGGCTGAATGTCAGCCAGTAAATGAGCCGTGACTTTTACCAAGACAGCAGAGTCAGCAATACATGGATACACATAACTCTCCTGTTCTCCATTCCTTTTGTGTTTTCTCCTCCCCTCTGTCCCTACATACACACACACACACATACACACACACACACACACACGTGAGGATGTCAGAATATTTCTAAAAGCGTGGAGAAGCATCTGGGACCTCTGCCTGACCAATCGGCTGTGAGAAACAGCTCCTCTCCATCACCGCCTGACCTTGACTCTCTGCTCCATTAGGCACGCTCTCACACAAACAAAATAGACACACTCAAAGGGGCCTTTACATGTCCACACTTTCACGTATTTGAGCAAACACATGTTTATTCCAGCTAGGGGTGATTGAACAAAGTGTCACATGACGGTGCCACATCCTGCCCGAGATGAAGCAGGAAAAGGAAGCGAGGACGGACCAGAGAGAGACGGGCCATCGTATAGAGGGAAGAGGAAGTTCAGACGGTCACATGGACCGAGAGATAATATTTATATGAGAGTGGGAAGCAGCTGAGTCCAGCTGACAGCAAAAACCTCAAACCACAGTTGTGTCACGTCAGACCAGCTGAGCACAAGCACTTCCTGTGTCCCAGTGAAAGACTTCCCCCTGAAATTCCTAATCAAGACAGGAAGAATAATTAACCCTTCGCACAGGGATAGAAAGTCATGCTAATACAGCAGGAAAGGAGAGAGTAAGTGAATATAAAAGAGTAAGGGAAATTGCCGTAAAAGCACTTCAATGTGCCCTAGTTTCTGCTTCTCCTCTCTGCATTTAAGTCTCTTTCACATTCGCTCCATTTCTCTCGAGCTTGTGCTCCGCTTTCATCCCCTGGCTTCCACGTTTCCTTCAGTCACAGTGCATGTTTCTATTCTTTATTCCATACAGGCAACTTGGAGAGAATGAACAAAAGCTGATAAGAAGGGGGAGCGTGCTATCACGAAGGCAGTATATGTGTATCAAAGTCAGTTTACGTGTCTATCTTACCTTGTACACCTGCCCATAGGTGCCAGTTCCCACCAGCTCAACCAGCTCAAAGATGCCAGCAGGATCCTAGAATGAAAAAGGAAACATAGTAGGATCATTGGGATGAATAAGAAGCATTTACTCCGATTTTTTCAATGCAACAAGGTACAGTGTATGTTGTATCAGATTCAGACAGTAATCATGGGGATGACAAATCCTGATGTATCTATTTTCGTAGCCATTCTAGTGATGTAGCTCTTGTCGGTAGGTGGGTCAGTCCACCACTTTGGTCAAGACTGATTTATCTCAACAACTATTGGATTGCCACAACATTTTGATCAGACATTCATGGTACCCAGAGGATGAATCCCAATGATCCTCTGACTTCCCCTGTAGTGCCAGCAGGAGGTTGACATTTTTGGTTTATAATTGAAATGTCTTGATAATTACTGGGAGGATTGTCACCACATTTTGGACAGACATCCATGTGCCCCTGAGGATGGACGGTTATGACTTTGGTGTTCACTTAACTTTTCAACTGGTGTCGTCATCAGGTTTGTCTTTGGACATCTCCATCAGCCTCAGCTATACATTAGGGTTTTGTGCTAATTAGCAAATGCTGGCATGCTAACACGCTACACTTTGATAGTGAACATTGTAAACATTACCGGCTAAACATCGGCACGTTGGCATTGTTAGCATGTTAATATGTTAGCATTCAGCCCAAAGTGCCACTGTGAAGTACGGGCTTACAAACCCACTAGCATGGCTGTACACCCTCTGTCCTGGCATACATACTACTACAACATTGGTTGACTACTTTTTTTTAACAATGGTGTTGGACATCAAACCCAAGCACCGATGCTCAACCAACTGAGCTCTCTGGGTGTTGATACATTGGTCTGAAATAGAGTGCAGGATTGTTTTAGGCTTGTGTCCAGAGGAGCTAATAATTTAAGACCACAGTCGCTAGGTTGCCAACACAGAACGCGACGCATCTCTGACAAGGAGCAACTTGAACAGAGCATAAAACCCACTGACCCCCCCCCCCAACACACACGCGCACACACACACACACACACACACACACACACACCTCCCCCTTCCTCTGTGCTGTGTGTTGCTACGGCATTCCAACAATAGCTGGTATTCACCCTCTCCTTCCTTCTCTCTCTTTCTCGCTCTCTCTGCTCCACCAGCTTCTGTTCTCCAACCATCCGAAGTCCATCTATGTCTCTCTCACTCTTTTATCTACACATGCTTTCTTTCTCTCCTTCATTCCTGACTGTGTCCAAGACAAGTCCTTCTCTTCAACGCTCCTCTCATTCCAGTAGAGTCCCAGAAACACTGAGGCCCTTTTACCAGCTTCTGTTAAGGCTCTTTTCTTACCGTGCATCCCTCTTGCTATTGAAACGTTTTGTAAAGGTAACATACCACTTTTCATGTTGTGTTAACCGTCTTCAACTTTGTACCTCGTTCTTTCTGCCAGAGGGGCCTGTGGAGATCTCAGAGCTAATGTTGGGCCATCATTTTCAATGATTCAATAATTCCATATTAGGAATGTCTATTTTCAGCAATCCTACACTGTAAATGACCTAATAACAAGTGGGGCTCTAACTCTATAGATGAATAAACTGCTTATAATGTGGGTTACCTTGCACTTACAGCCAATTCTACTGGGTCAGCTAAAAATATACCAATATCCAAGGTCATTTCTGTAATTTCGCTCTTCGGTAGCATCTATAGGGACATGTATGAAAAATAAGACCTTCCACAGGGGGCAAAGCTAGAGGCTTATTTTGTTGCTGAGTCACAGAAATAAACTGCAGTATTGTGTCGATCCGCTCTGGGCCTCATGCAAAATCTTGAGAACAGACAATATTACACCATACACACTTTTCACAGACAATTCCCCACTCAATAAAGCATCTTTTTATTTCCGTTTTGAAAAGCCACACATGCACTCTATTTCCATCCCTGTCTCTCGTTACTTCTGTCTCCTGCGTCTTTCATTCACGGCCTGTCCTCTTTTTTTTAGACTCTGTTACTTTCTCTTTCTCACCGTCTGCAATTCTCTTTCATGTCATGTCTGTGAATTTTCAGTCGCACTTTCAGCTAACTTTGCTGGCATTACACGCAGACCTACGCGTGCTGCCGCAACACACAGAGAAGGAAATGACAGGATTATGGACAATGAAGAAATGTGTCTGCATGCTTATAGTCTTTGTAAAGGTTTACTTTCTTCTGTTCTCTCTCAGTTTTCCCTCCCTCTCTTCCCCCAGTTTCTCTCCCTCTCTCTGTCTGTCTCTATGTGTTTGTTTCTGCCGGTCTCAGCAGACCTGTCAACCTGTCAATGCTTTCTGAAGACAGGGTCTTTTCTTGCTCTTTCCTTCCTTTTCCTGTTGTTTTTTCACCCTTATTTATCTGTTGTGTGCAGAAGACACACACACACACACACACACACACTTTTCCCTCACATACAAACACGCACAAAGTCATTCTCTTACACTCTGTCTCGAGTACATCCTCCTGCTGTCTCGCTCTATCGCACTCTCATAATCACACACACACACTCACACTCTGTGCCAGAAGCGCACTCCTACACGAGGGCTAGTGTTCAAATGTTCTAACGAGTATGAGTGGGCTCAAAGGAAGAGAGTGTGTGTCTAACTAAACGTGTGTGCGAAAAGCCAGAGAGAGGCTGCAAACCGCTTTTTGACAGTGCAGACAGCAGCATTCTGCAAGCACTGCAACTGTTTGCCTCGCTATCATGCTTCCAGCTTATGCAGGTACATTTTACTCCCCTCACTTTCTTTTTCTCTCTCAAAGTGTGTGTGTGTGTGTGTGTGTGTGTGTGTGTGTGTGTGTGTGTGGCGGTTGTGTGAATTAACTCTCAGAGCAGCATTACAAAGTTCTGACAGCAACTCCCAAGAGACACCTAAGGATGCACTCTCTTTTTTTTTTTTTTTAGACAGCAGAAACATTCACACTCGTACTTCTGCAAACTCTGGAAGACACATGATGATGTAGGCAATAGGCATGCATGTGGAGCCTCAACTCCATGCTCAACATACAGAGTGAGTGCCAGAGAAACGGAGCGTTTTTGCTGCTCCAGTTCATACATGTCCTTAGGCTCGCTGATAAAAGAATATATAGCACGATATCATTCATATTTTATAGGCCACTTGCAGAATGAGCTCCCAGCTTGCGTCAGGCTTCGTCAGTGCTTCTACATGTGCGTGCGTGTGCAAGTCCGTGTGTCAGAGGTTCCCTGTAACTGAGCCATTTTGGCCCCTTCCCTTATTTCCTTTTGTGTTCCTTGTTGAGCGATTGCCAGCGTCACATGACTGCCACATGACCTCACTGGTGGTCAATGAATCACAGTGCGTGCGTGTCCAAAGCCCCTTTCATACATGCACTGCATCCCTGAACTTATCTAGACATTACCCGGAGGAGCTGTGTGTGAGAACGCAAATTTCTGAATCACACGGACCGGACTTTAAATGGACTTTACCTTGCCAGCTCCTTGGTACAAAGTAGGGCTGAGTAATAAATAAAATCCAATTCGCAATGTGGCTTACTGAAACTTTAAAATCCAGGGGGCGCAACATTTGATAAAGGAAAAATGTGTGTCATAATACCATTTTAAATGAAATATTGTTGTGCCTAAGCATCGTATTCTACTTACTTAGGAAAACATCCGTTGATGAGGTTATAAATGTGGATGTCGCAAAGCTGGAAGACATCTCAACATTTCCAGCAGAGAAAGCGTCTGACACGGACAATCTCCTGCTGTGTGCTACATGTGTGGAAGAGAAACTCCAGACAATGTCCGGACCGAGTTGTCTGTCAGGAGTTTATATGAGAAAACAGCTTAAGTGCAGCTGCTGAATAATAGCAACACATATAGCTTCTAAAACAACACAAAAGAGAAGTAAGAATGACGTTCGACCACTTGAGAAGTGACTTAAAAACCCGCAGACGCACATCAGTTCTCCAAAATGTCAAGTTTTGAGAAGCGGTTAAACCTGATGACTTGGCAGTTTTTCTTACTTATCCACCAGTTGAAATTATTTCCCAGCAGACGTCTGAGAATATTCCAAACCTACAAAAGGAGCATGACTTTTTTTCAATTTCTATGACAGCGGCGAGTGTTTTCAAGAAAGGCCACAGGTGGCCTGACCTCAATCACCACTTACTTACCTAGAAGTCAGAAGAAGAGCAAAGTTACCATGCTAGCATTCAGTGCAACATTAAAGGCATGACCTTCACTTGTCACGGCTAATCTCCATTTTTATTTCTTTACACACACCTGGTACAACATCAGAAGAGACCTTTTCTATCGACATCCCTGCACATCCACAGTTAAACATTGTGTTGTGATCCTGATCATTTTGCCTCCTTAGCTCCTTTTTACTTATTCCTTCGGCCATTTCTTGTTGACATGTAATGGTTTTGTGCAAAAGCAGGATGAAGTAGGATGAACTTTGTGCACGAGGACATGGAGATGGATGCAACACTGGCTCCACTCTTTTCTTTGAACAGGGCATATTGGTCCATTAGAAATAATGGGTTTTAGAGTGCAGGGCTGCAGTTCTGCTGAAAGCCACTTTACAACATGTGTGAGGACTTTTACTGACTGCATTCATTCTTTCATTCCTTAACCTAACCTTAATCCTCTCCACTGCATTCCTAACTTTACTTAACTCTTACTGAACCAAAAGCTTAAGCTAAAACTACAAACGCCTCATATTAAAATCAGGTGTAACAACATGCAAAGATGAAACTGGACACATAATGCATATCCTCGCCACAGTGGACCACAACTGCTGAGAAGTTTTAAGTTAACATTTGTGGGTCAACAACGTAATCAGAAGTGTGACTCATCTCCTGATCAACACATAGAACAATAGCTAGACTGGTTTTGTGAGTAAAGCTCTTTCTCTAATCCTGTTATTATGTTGTGGGTAAATCTGACCCATTTAAGCTTTCAGCAGTTAGAAAAAGGTGAAATCAAACGACATTTCCTCATTATTGCACACGATCGTCTGTGTGTGTGTGTGTGTGTGTGTGAGACAATGACTGGCCAAACCTCCTAAATTGGAACACATATTTCCTTCATGTCTTAATAAATAGACTTTTCATTTACATCAGAGTGCCTTGAATTACTTAGTGATGGAGGAAATCCAGAATGATAATGCTAACTATCAATCTGCTGTCACTCGCCAAATTCTGAAGAGCACTTGAGATTATCCTCCACCACACTCTCCGACTTTGTTTTGTTGTCTCTGGCTGACACACACCTGCTAAACAATGGAGGGATTCTCGTCTAAACTCGCTTTTGCTTCAGGTCTGAATGTTTGTTTTTGTCAGCTCGTTTTGTAGGGCTGGGCTATAATACAATACAATGTAGCGTGATACGCCATTACATAGTCTAAATAAATAATAACAAGCACACACTAAACTAACTAACGTAAATTCTGCTTTTTCATTTATAAAGTATTTATTCACTATAATATACTATAGGCTATACAAAACCATGGATTATTTCATGACTTATTGAGTCACCAGATTATATGCTATATTGTGATATACTTGAGGTATGAAATGACCTATCTATCCGTGTCAAATTTAATTTTTGGTAAAAAAAAAAAATACACACAAAGGCGCCCGTTAACAATTTCAACACGTGACATGTGGATTAGGAGGAAAGACAATGCAAAATGGAAAGAGAAGGTATATGTCCGAGCAGGTTTTGTAAGATAAAAACAACAACATTGCAATAAGTAAATATTACACCTCCACTAAAGCCGATATAAATGAGTGCAGATGCAGTTAATCCCATCAATGAGGATGTACGCACACAGTGGCACAAACTAAAGAGACGAACTAATCTCAAAAACATACTGTTTTCGTTACAGGAAAAAGAACAAAGCAATTTGTTCCATCTTAACGCATGCAGTAGGGCTACAGATGGTAATTATTCTCATTACCAGTAATCTGTTGATTCTGTTCATTGTGCATT